AATTCTTGGGATGACTGATATGACAATCAAGAAGGCTTTGGAAGCTGAATCTCTTCCGAACACTGTCTGAGTCCTGACACGCAAACCATTGTTAGAGAGGAGTAAATCGGCATGTGCTCCCTCAGTACAATACCCAGTATGAGCTGATCGAATGATGGAACTACATGGTCTCCTGGTGTGTGAAAGAAGTATCTGTGGGACAGACCCGAAGCAGTCAAGTGGCTCAAACAACTTAGATCCTGAATTCGAGTCAACAGAGAACAATCGTTACAGAGTCTATTGTACACCCAAGACAAATTAGTTAGCCCATTAATATGTGTGGGAGCCATCAATATTAATTTCCTAGGATCCTTGTTTGAAAAGGCCATGGGATCCTAAAATAATTGGGTATTGCATTGATAAAAAAATATTTGGCAAACAATTTAGGCAGATTATCAACTAGTTGTCTGAGATAAAACGGGGCCGAAGATGAGGATTGTAGGGGAAAGATAAAGAATCATACAAAAACTTAAGCACTGTGCGGTAGCCCACTTACTAATAGAACATGAGGGTTAGATTTGGTAGTTGAATTCACGCGCCCTCGGGAAGAATCGAAACTCTACAGAACGGAACAACTGTCGTTCGACTCCTTGAAAGTGCGGTGAGGATGCCTCACAGGCAGACAACATAGCGTAGTGTCGACTTCGGTCGACTGTCATTTACTTCACAACCGGGATCCGTCCCCCGCCCCACAAGAAAAAACAGAATCGCTTGGCTTTATAGAATAACCCACTAATCCCGTATTCGAGTGCGATCTTTTCTTTTTCGGTCTTAACAACAAGTGATTGTGAAAAAAAGAATCATTGGAAGCATACGTTCGTGTACGAACTGTGTCCTTTCAGGCAGAACTATTGGATGTTCCGCTTGTCGGGGAGAGGTCTGACCTATCTCATCCGGTAAATAAGGTGGACAAACCATCGAAACTTTCCCAGAGTGCAGTTTTGACGTGGCGCCAGTCCCAGAATACCTGGTCCAATAAACACTCAAACAGAACGTACTTACATACTTGTTAGCTTTCAACTAACTCTGTCAACTAAACAGAAGAAATTCATTGAGGAGGCTCGCGTGGGAGTTGTAACGAGACGAAACGTGAAGGGATTCATGTCGATTACGTGAAATTTTAGGAGGATGGAGAAGAATTCCCTGTAAATCTGATTCTGTGCGCATTGAATGCAGCAATACATTTCCGCACCACTGAAATGAGCAAACTATATGCCACTCCAGCCACCTAAAGCCTGATGAAGTCAACTGGTCATGACAAATGCGCTTAGCTTGTGCACAAAGTGATGAAAAGGTCGTCACGCAACACGTGTACAGAAGCCAGGCTAAATGACTATGGCAATAAGCAGAATAGACGAGGTCAAAACTGCAACCAAACACTCGTGCAAGCTACGACGCAACGAGCAAGAGGGTGCCGCGAATCAGTTGATCAAGATATACCTACAGTTTTACTGTTTACCGCTCGAATTCGAACGTGTCATTATGGGCGACCATGCACTGTTGATTACTAACTACTTAGAATATACCCGTGGAATAAGAGATTTAACTATGTTCCAAAAGGTAAGCTTCTAAGAGCAGTTCACGTATTGTTTTAGCCCGTTATAGGTGGCATGCACAAGCGCAAAATTTTACCGTATGCCTTGATTATTTCAGATTTGAATAGTCTATTTTCTGAAGTAAATCAAAAAGCATGAAAATCTATTTTCGGTGGTTGTTCACAAACAAGGCACGCTTAGTATCTGCGAACAGAAAACATCAACGGCATTCCCACAATTCCACTGATTCCGTCGAAAGCAGCTGAAAATAANTGAAAATAAAGTGGTGCTCTGTCACACGTTGATCAAGCAATATCAACGCCTCACACACACACACACACACGTACATAGATACATACAGACATACATACGGGCGATGTTGATCAGGTGGTAACGTCAACCTGACTTTGGCCATTTCAGCTGCATGGCAACCCCCGGATTGGCCGCTTCCCCCTTCCGGAAAATTGTATCATTGTGTATTCAATAGAAAGGAAGTAAAAATGAAAAAGAAAAAAAAAGGTACGCACATGCACTGAAGTGAACTTCGCTGATTTACTCAAATTAAGTGAGAATGTGCAAGACGGACAGGGATAGGGCCTGTTTGGTAAGAGGTCAAAGAAAGTGAACCTCTATGGCCAACATACGGAGTGCACGATGTAACTGTGCATAGATATCCTTTAAAGCATTCTCATCTGAGAATAAATGACAACAAGAACGCCAATATTGCCACCATTGCGGCCATATTTCCAACCAACCAACCAACCCTCCACCCACCCTCCACGCCCGAAGCCATCGAACCAATCGTGAAACGGGTACTCAGAAACCTAGTGAAAATAAAACAATCTGTCAAGTGAACAGTGCTTCCGTCAAAAATCTACCAGGCCACCTGAAACGTTGGGATGAGTTTTAATTTAAATGACACTGACCGCCAACATCAATCACTGCGCAAATCGAGGAACAGCGTACCCGGGGGGGGAGGGTCACCATTTGGTCCTCCACCCTGAAAAAAAAGTGAAATCCTTGAAGCTCTCACGTTTCTAAAATGTCCCAGTGTCTGGTCCGAACAAACATCTGACAGTAGACTTTAAAGAAAGGGGAGGGCACCAGTAAAAGAACAGCACAAAACCAGGTCAGTATGAAAAAAGAGTTCGTGTTCAAGCGACAGTGACGGGAATCGGTCAAACATCACCAAAGTGACAACAGACACGTATTCCCGCAACCAACAAGCGAGTCATCAAACTGCTGCCTCTATCTGAAACAGTGCGCAGGTTGGGGCTGTCATTCCTTTGGTCAGTCGAAAATGGGGCTTAGCAAAATCGCATCAAACATATGGAGCTCCTAGTATTTCAATCATTTCACGATTGATGCGGATGCAACCGACGGTGAATAGCGATCCAGATCGACCTAACGAATGATCGTCGTGTGCGGGTCGCTGCTATCATAGATGAACACGGAATTGACTCATCATGCCTGTGCATGAAATATTCACGAAAAAGTGACAAGCTGGAAACCAGTATGATTTAATGTTTAATGTTTTAATTACTTACAGTCCGGTTTTGTAATTCTGACTGTTCGTGTTTGTTTCTTTGATTATAGTGATGTCTTTAGTTGTGATGATAGGTCCAAACTTCTTCACACTCTTTCTAAGAAAGGCATTCAGCCGGAGCTTACCAATCTGTTGAGTAATTATTTCACCCATCGATCACAGTTTACCAAGTATAAGGGTCGTAACTCTTCACTTTTGCCCTCCACTCAAGGAGTTCTTCATGGCGCTATTCTCCCCCTTCTTGTTCACAACTTATATTTCTTCACTGCCTGCTTTTGATGATTGTCTGCTCATTAAGTATGCCGATGACGTTGTACATGGCATGATGTTTTCGAACTCCTCCGTGTACCTCAAACTTATGCAGAATATTTCACTGCTCACCGACTGGTCTTAAAAAACAATCTTATAATGAATCCTTCCAAGTGTAATGATGTTTTATTTTCTTTA